ATAGTGACGTAGACATGTGGGGGCGTGTTAGAACGAGCCGTTTTAGGAGGGCGTGGACAAGTCTTAACTTTTATAAAGAATATCTCTTTGGATTTGAGACTTTAGTCTTTGCAACTTTACAGATCTTCTTTATGCACCAAGAGCTTGTAACACTCCAAAGAGAAAGAAAAAAAATTTGAAATCGCGTCAGATGACCCTTTTAAAAGTATTGCATTTTTCCCCAACATTTTTAACTTGTATGTTCAAAAATATTTAAAACATTAATCTTATAAAATTATTTATGCATTTGAAATTTTGCAGTGTAAATGCATTTAAGGCATCTCAGCTTCATTAAACAGTCTGTGTAAATACATCTAATGCCACTTCAGATGCAGCTTCTGTTTCCTCTGCAGTGAAAAGATGGAGTTTGTTGATAGTATGCACATTCTTATGTGAACACAAAAATTTGCAAAAATAAATTACTCCACTGCTCACAAAGAGAAGTATGGACACCGATAAAAAGACCCCCCTACAAGGGTCATATTACGAACTGTCACCTTTTTGACCTCTTGTGAGTTTGCAGGTATGCACTCTACAGAAAACTCACAACCATTATTATCTTTTCACATGGAAACGAGTTTTTCTTAAAGGCACAGTTGTAAAAAAAAAAAAAAAGTATACATTTCAGAGAGAATTTGAGTGGTGGAAAATTGTCATGTGAAACTATTTGGTGCTTTACTGAAATTAAATATAAATATTAAACCATACAAATGTGTGACAGGACTAATTTAAGATGGAATGAAGTCTGAAATATTGATCTGACTTCTCTCATATTCCTTCAGCTTCAACCGGATCGACATCCCGCCTTACGAGTCATACGAGAAGCTCTACGAGAAGCTCCTGACGGCCGTGGAGGAGACATGTGGCTTTGCAGTGGAGTGAGCGAGTGCCCTGTCCAGCCAACCAGCAATGGCAGCAAACCCACCAAACAGCCCCAGCCATCCTTTTCACCCCCTCCCCTTCTCCAGGACAGACAGACTGGTGTCTCCTGACAGACTTTAGCATCACCCGCCAGCTGGAAACTGCAACGGAGAGGAGCGACCACCCAAGGGCAAAACTCTCAAAGACTAATGATTCCTCACAACGGGATTCGAGAATTGTTTCACATTACCACAATAAGTTAGAGAGAAATCTGGTCAACAGTTCGCATTGTCTTTGTCACTGAAGCGGTGGGCTGATAGCGTCTGACTGTAACGCGAGTATGTTTGTGCTGCAGTAGAGCCTCGCTGAGCCTGTGGTCTACATGAATAGAGCTGACGTTTTAGTCTAGGTGGAGTATTTTAACATACACAGAGCCTGTGACCATTAAACCAGTTTACCAGCAAATGCATCTTGAAGGACAAGGGTGGTCTGCGTTGTTATGCTCGGTATCGTCTCTTATTTGACTTTATTTTCTTGTGTCCTGTTCAGTACTATAGGATGGCATTTCAGTGGTATCCATTTCCTGTACTCATCAGCGTTCTCACTGTAGAAATTAACTCGATTGCTTGAAATGTATTATTGAAATGTTTTTTTTTTTTGTCTAAGATCAAGAACATGCTTAACAGCGAGTATTAGTCCTGTTGTGGGAACTGTGAATCTCACAGCACCCGTGTGTTAATGTTCCTCAACTGAAGCACAACGATCATGTGCAGTCTAGAGAAGGACCCAAAGCCCTTGCAAAGTCAGCGGTTTCCTGAGCGAGCCAGTATTTTCGTCACATCTTTTTTTTTATGGCATTTTTATCCAGTGAGCATTCCTCCGTTGTCAACAAAAGACCTATTTTTAAAGGTAATGTTTAATGAATGGTGTTTTAATATGCAGATTTTGAAGCAAATCACCTTCTTGAAAAACATTCTAATCCACTGTGTCCGTTAACACGCCTAAACTGGACTCCTAAACATAGTTTTGCAAAGAAAACGAATGTTGAGTGTTTTGAAGAAGCTCTTCTTGTCCTTAATTTTGATAGACCCCATTAATCTCTTTAATGAATCCAACCATTATCATATGGTAACTTGGCATTAACCGTTTTAACGTAATGTACCATAAAATTCAACTCTAGACTGTTATTCGCGTGTCTTCATTCAAACCACTGCTTCAAGTAACATTCAGCACTTTCGCTGGCAAGTGTTCAATCACCCGTCATGGAGTGTTTATTCCCCTGCAGACGAACGTTTAGCTGTGGTGGTACATCTGCAGACTCTGATGGAGTGGGGTTTGGTCCAGGTTTTGGTGTGGTGAAAGAGCAGGGGAGAGTCTTGGATTTCATTATGTAGTGCTTGATGTGCATGGCACCTGATTATTCTTTATAAATGTAAAGGATGAGCCAACCTCAGTGTTTCTTCAACCACTTTTGTCTCTTTCTCTTTTTTTTTTTTTTTTTACCAATTATTTATTACCATGTAATGTCCTTTTAAGTATTGCTGCTATTACCATTATTCCATTGTTTTCAGAGAAGGCTGAGTTCTTGTGAAAGCTGTACACTAATCTCTTTTATTTTATGTATGAATCAAAGTATTTAAACCTGCTGCTGATTCTTCAGGATGTTAATAGGAGGGTTCCCCCGACCTTTGACCTGGATGGAGTTAGCAAGTGATGTAGGCTGGGCCCCGGTGGTCATGTTCATATTTGTGATATATGCAATAAAAACCATCACCTTTATATTCTTGGTTCTGTCTTAAAATGTCTCTTTCCTCACTTAATGTGTATCGGATCGGTCAGAATTGGTGTCTTTGACGAGTGTGCAAAAATGAAGTTTTCTGTTTTTTGAGTGGTGAAAGTTTTTAAACTTGCTTAAAAGACAAAAGAGGTGACGTTTAATGTTGTGTAATTGTGGGAATGGCTAGTGAGCTTGAAGATGAGTATGGACTTTGCCTGAAGTTACAGTTGTTTTCAGATTTCTCTAAAGAAAAACCTTTTTCCAAGTAATGTGACCAGTATCATCACATTGTACAATTATTAGGTCCTGAGTGTCATTGTTTATTCGATGCAAGAGTAATGTAACTTACTATGTACTAAACATTTCTGAAAAAATTCAGTGTAAATAAGATTATATTAAAGAAACTAAATTGCAATCGATTTCTCCTTGCTCTTTTTTTGGTCTTTGTTTGCATATATATTGTACATTTTTATTTAGTAATGAATGTTAAAGGAATAGATCACCCAAAAATTCAAATGTACTCCCCATCAGGCCATCCAAGATGCAGATGAGTTTGTTTCTTCATGGGAACAGATTTGGAGAAATTTTGTTCGTCAGTGGATCCTCTGCAGTGAATGGGTGCCGTCAGAATGAGAGTCAAAACAGCTGATAACAACATCGCAGTAATCCACACTACATCAATTAACATCTTAAAGCAAACAGTGTTGTGGCTTGCGCTGTTTCTCTCTTGTTAAAGAAGTCTCTCGAAGCCGGGGTTCCAGGTATCAAGAACTTTGACACACAGTAGAGTCGAGATGCACATCTGAACTTCTTGGGTCTTGCATATACTATTCCACAATTATATTTTACATATCACGTTGTTTTTTTAGCTGTGGTCAACAAATTCCATACATCACGCTGTTGTTTTCTACCTGTGGTGAACAAGCCACTCATTCTATTTTGTTAAGACTCCCTTATCATACGACTCTCTTCGTGATTCTTCTTTCCATACCTCTTTAACATATGACCATTGTCTGGTTGCCCATTCAGCATGTGTTAAGAGTATATGCCCTACAAGTAACCCTTGTCATATGACTTCCACAGCTTTGCAGATACATCTTTTCTCATGATACATAGAGATATAGAAATATAGAAAACTACTTCAAAAGCTGCGCATTAAGAAATACATCCATTAAGACGTTTTAACCACCCTATCCTCTCACATCAAAACTTTTCACTGGAGAAAGCAATACTAAATGATAGAAGACACGTATTTTAGCCAGAAGCAATGATTTGAAGTTAAAAACATCTCGATGGATTTGTTTCTTACAAACATGAAGCTTTTCACTTCACAAGACGTTGATTGATTGACTGGTCTTGTGGATTATTGTGACGTCTTTATCAGCTGTTTGGACTCTCATTCTAACGGCACCCATTCACTGCAGAGGATCCATTGCTGAGTAAGTGATGGAATACTACATTTCTCCAAATCTGTTTTACCTGTTTGAAGGACTGAGGGTGAGTGAATTTTCAACAATTTTTTATTTCCGGGTGGACTACTCCTTTAAGTAAAATAAGCCAGCTGCCCCTCATAATTATGCACGATTTTGTTTTATTTGCCTACAAAAATACTGAAGGAGCAGGTGACTCAGGACATGATGTGCTTTGGCAACTGTGAGCACAAGCACAAGCAGTGCCTTGTGTCCAAGCTGTTTGCAGAATTAGCTTATAATTGCATTCAGATTGTAGTCTTTATAAACAGAATTGAAGCAACTGGCCCCATGTGGGCATTTTCAATTTATGGCCTTTTATATAGATTTACTGTGTCCAGCAGTGTCAAAATACTAAATGTGTACATTACATAAAAAAGGAGCAATATTTTTTCAGGAAGGAAAACAAAATTTATATTGGAAAACTGTTGTCATTACGTCAAGGAACATATAATTGCCTTGTAATAATCATAATAATAACTGCTTATAATTACTTTCAGATATGTTTTCTTAATTGTCCAACAACACTGTGGTAGAAGTTAATTAGAAATGCAACACTGTCTCAGCTAACATTTGCTGTGTCTTTTCCGCCATTAAAATGTCTGGAAAATTGAAGTGAGTTGATGACTTAAGCTGTGAATCCAATCAAAAAAAAAAACCCTGCAATGTCCTTGGAGGTCTTCCCTGCCTGGTTTCCTGAAAGCATTTTGAAAATGATATCCATGGAGAAAAGTTACCAGACAGGAGAGCGGTGCCAAGCCGACAGTGGTGCCACAATCCTGCAACAGTAATAAGACTTTATGAAGAGACATTATAAAGTCCCGTGACCTTAACCTGGGAGTTAAAACTCCCAAGCCAGAAAACTGTGATGCTCCTAGAAGTAGGTGTTCATCCAGATTATTTCCTGTAGTTTTAGGAAAATGATTTGCTTCTCTATCTGTAATGAGATCAATGAAGATCGGTGCTGGAGCTGTCAGGATGATGAAGACCAGATCTTTGGTTTGGCGGAGGAACTGTAAAGTCTGTCCTCAGAGGTTCAGGCAACATAAGAAGACGAGAAATCGTCAATAGTCTCACCTTTTCATTTTTTAAGAACTCAAATGAGTTTTAATAGGTAAGATAAGATCAAATACAGTGCTGTGCGTCATACTTTCCTATAAATCATTCCTTTTGGGTTACAAAAGAGCCTTCTGAATGCTAGTAGCAGATATCTTGAGGGATTTTGGGAGGAATTTTTGAAAATTCTATTATCGTTTACTCACCATCATGTCATTCCAACGCAATATGACTTTTCTGGAACACAAAAGAACATATTTAACCAAGCAGCTCTTCTCCATACAATGAACTGAATGGTGACCTGAGCTGTCAAGCAAGATTATTAGTGAACTATCGCTTTTCGCACAAAGATTTTGTATGGTTTTAAAAGACGGATACAAGTGAAACTTTTTATGTTTTTTATTCATTCATTCATTTATTTTTATTTATTTATTGTGTGTGTCTTTTTTGGAGCGTGAGAGTTACTAAGTCACGTTATTTATTTATTTGGTCCTTAAATATTTAACTAATAATTTACACAACCATTTACAGATCTTAAACCACCAAAAAAGGCCGTATTCAGCTGCTGTTTAAAGGTGGTCTTTGTTTTGTTGTGACTTTTTGTAACTTTGTTTTGTTTTGTACTGACTGGTCTGATAATTGCACAATCCTGTTACATGTCTTAATGAATAATCTCCAATATTTAGTGTTTCATGTTGAGATGTGCTGGACAAATGAGCACTATGTGGACACATTTACTGGCAACACAGGCTGGATTTAAAAAAAAACTTTATGGTGTGCTATTTAATGAGATGGTTCCTCTGAGTAAATTTCAAGGGAAACATTCTGCAAAGTATTTTGTAATGACCTTAGAGCTTCTATTTCATTCGTCCTGTTTGTTTTTAAAAACGTCAAACATAAAAAGATGAAATGTAGCCTTGTTTCCATTTAGGGCTGATTTTGTTAAGAGACATTTATCACTCTCTGTTTTTACTGCTCATGTAGGATGTGTTCACAGCAGGAGTGGGACTTTGACAACCGCCAACATCTGAAATGGAGACATATTTTCATATTCGTTCGTACATCACAGACGTCATAGAAGTGCATTTATTTGCCTTTCGTGGAAAGTGATATATAACCAAGAGCATCTGATCTGTACACTCTCAGAGAGAGGGAGAGAGAGCGGTAGAACGGTCTACAGGATCATATCTACTGCTCAATAAACGTGTGTTCTGTAATCTAAAATTACTACAAACTATCAGCCAAGTTTTTTTCAAGTTGCCGACCACAACTTGCATCTGCAATAAAAAACCTAAATTAAAGAAAGCCAGATGTTCCTGTTGAGAAAGGTTTGTTACGGGACAATAAAGATACATTGGCTGCTTTTTTATTTGGAACAGCAAAAATTAATCACAAAACATGTTTCATTAGAAAAAAATACAATGTATATTTTACTGTGCGCTACACCTGTTTCTCAGCTTCACTCGGTTTATGGAGAAAATACCTGTTAATGAACCAAGAATACTGGAAAATGCAGTAGTCATGAGAACAGTCAACAAATATAAACAAATATAAAATGCCTCATTCATTATTAACTCAACCCTTAAATGTGTTGTTTGAACAAATGCACTTTTGTTGTTTTTTATATATATATAAATACACAGTACAGAAGAGTATTATATTCATTTCTTAAGGTTTATCATCTTTAATTACTTATCTTTGATATGCTTAATGAAAAATCTTCAAATAGACGTGGATCCTAACAGCAGTAATTTTTCTTTTTTATGCAAGAAATGTTTTTCGAAACTTGATGATCCACAAATCTAATAATGCATACAGTCTTTTTCCACATCTTTTTTTTATGCTGATAGTTCAGTTAAGAGTCAGTGGTGTAAACGTTTATTAGAGTGTTAAATGGAACAAATCATCATGACCAGGAAGCATTAAACATTAGAGCTCTTTATAATAAAAAATAGTGTCCATTTTCCACAGATTATGTGTCCTTGTGACTTATTCATTTGGTTTTTACATTCTCTCTTATTTTATCTGTTTCAAAATGTGCTTCTGTTCACTTAACCAGTGGCCAGTTCCATAAACATAGCCACTATGTTAAGACTTTGTCTTAAAGGGGTCATATAATGCTACATGCACTTTTACAAGTTGTTTGAACTGAAATGTGTGTTGGCAGTGTGTGTACACAACCACCCTAAAGTGATAAAAATCCACCCAGTGGTTTTTTTTAATGGACATACTGTGTACTACCTAATAGATCTATTTTTGATAATATTTATTTAATTAATTAGAGACATTTAGATATCTCTAGATCATTTGGTTTAAACGTTTTCCGCTTTCTCAAATCGAGCCGATCTCAGATGCCTGTCTGTGTGACGTCACACAGACAGGTCCCTCCCACGATAGTTTGATTGACAGTAGTGTTTTAGCACAGACTGGACTGGTGTCTTACCTCAGACCCGCCCTGAGTGAGCTGTCATCAGTCCTCTATTGTTTCACCGCTGGAGCAGATGTAGACAAGAATGAATGCTAAGCGATTGAGGTGTTCTGTTGTTGGATGTAATAATGAACATAGCAGTCGTCATTTACTCCCGACATCTGAGCCGCTGAAGACGCAGTGGATTACATTTGTTTTTGAAGAGAATGCGCCCCCGATCTACATAAATGCGTCTATGTTCGCATGAATCATTCGTGATATAGCTTCACCCACAGAAGAAGTGAGTGTAAGGTTTTGTAATGAATCTTTGCAAATCGCCTTTCTAATAATGCGCTAGTTAGCCAGTACCGCGGCTGAAGTTCACAGTCTCTCAGAGAACGGCTCGGAAGAGAGGGGCAGGGTCAGCAGAGCTCATTAGCATTTAAAGGGACATGCACTGAAACGGGTCGCTGT